AATTTACAATTTATTTCGCTGATTAATGTATAACTTAGCTTTTGATTTGTGTAACTGAAACAAAAAAAATTACATGATCTGCATTTCTATATCATAAAAAAGGCAATCTATCTCATTTGGTAATCAATTTAAAACTATAATATATATCAAAATTCAAAAGCACTGTAAATTTCAATCAAAATGTCAGGCAATAATATAATACTTTTTAAAATAGTATACATAAAAATAGTTTATATATTTCAATGTCAAACACCATTTTCCATTTATTAAATTACATATTGAACTTCTGGTTTGTAAATATAGAGTTTACTCTAGTTTTGTTAAGAGATATCTGTGGGTTTAAAAATATTTCTGGGATGTAGTCATAATTTTTATTATATTCAAGCATTTTTATTATATAATGCATTATTACTAATTGCATATACTGATTACAATTGGGTGAAAATATTATCAATTGACCAATCCTCAGTGTCAGTAGAGTTTAGAAGACTGGTTGAGGAGCTTTTTTTAACACTTTCTTAATTTTGTTCGAAAGCGCTGAGGTCAAAAAATTTTTTTATCATTAGATCATCATTTATATTAATACTTAACACCTCAACATCAACTTCTAAAGATTCTTCTTCAAATCTTTTCTTCTTAAAAAAAAAATCAAAGTTGGCATTTTCAGTATCTGAAGTATTTGTAAGATTTGTAGTTGTAACTTGTTCTTTAATCTTTTTTTTCATTGTTTTGGAAAGCTTTTGTTGAAGGTCATGTTGGAGTATATCAAGCATTCCATTAAAGTAGGAGACATTCTATTTCACAATTTTGTTTTTACCAGTCCTAAGCTGAAAAATAGATATTCAATGGCTGCTGCATGTAGGACAATTAAAAAAATCTTTATAGCAAATCATCTAAGAAGTGTAAAACCTCTAGAAAATTGTGCTCAGAATATGCGGGGGTTAATATTCTTTATATTTTTATAAGTATCAAAGAGGACATCACCATTTTTATAATTAATAAGCTCTTTATACAAAAGAATTGCATCCCTTTTATCAAAACCCAAGCTTTTGCTAACTCCAAAGAAGCTTTAATAATTAGCTTTTCTGACATTTGTCTTGATATAGAAACTTGTTTATAATACAAAGACAAAAAGAAGGCAATAAAATAAATATATTAGAAA